TTGTTTGTTTTATTAACCAAACTGAAATACAAGAAATGCCTGTCTGTACACTTGTGCCGAAACACGCACGCAAATTGTGTTCGAAGGCAGATGATATCATAACAAATTCCAAGCAATATTATTAGAATCAAATCAAATGTGATATGGGAGGTGGGAAATCGAACAACTTGTCTGTTTACTTTCGCCAACTTGGAACAAGTCATTGGCCCACCAAATAAATAATTTGGTAGTTGGTCTTAGTGTAAACCATTGTTTACAAATAACATAGATACAAACATAGATGTATGTGTATGTAAACCACTGGGCTTGCAAAATCTGGGATGGTTGTAGCGCCATAATGTCTCAAGTTTTGACGAATTTGTATGTATAAATGTTTAACATTATGAAGAATTATTAATTTATGTAACGAAATTGAGTGTCAAATGTTAACTAAACTAAAGTCTACTTCTACACTACATTTGAAGAACATTCAAAACCTTCACAATAACATAGGCTGATAAAGATAATTTTCTTACTTAATCCAACCCCATTAAAGAGTATATCTGTGCTGTTGAATACTCAAATTAATACATATTTATTACTTTAATTCTAACATCAGCCAATCATCTTAAAGCTAGCATTTTCCTGCTTTTTTGAGCAAAAATATACCAAAAGTACAATCTCTTCGGGTTTTCAAGGAATATTCTCTGGAATTCGGAGCCAGATCGTATGAAAACTCTAATATATTTTTTCTTAGGAAAACTTTCCGATTTAGGTGACCACGTCTATACAATTTTGATACGATGATCTGCTTAGAACCACATTTCTAGCCGATTTCTACGTGTCCGCCCGTCTGTTCATATAAAAACACACATAGAAACACAATTTAGCAGAAATTGTCAAGTCGGTTTTATCGCGTTTAAATCCTTAGATGGGGGGAAATTCTCAGAGCACAGATCGTTTTCACTCAGGAGCGAAATTTGCTGGAGTGATCGAAAAATTTAAGTTTTTTGCGGAGTTTACTTTCACTCTTTTGTTTTCTGAAACTCCTGTTTGAAAAATGAAAGTGGGAGCCGGATCGCTCGAAATAGAGTGAGTGTTTGTTCTAAAAGTGAAATCGAATGAAAACAAGTAAAAAATCAGCTTAGTTAAGCCGAACTTTAAATATCCTCCACCATTTCGAAAAAACTTAATAAAAAAATAATAAACCAGTAAGGAAAGCTCAAAAGTCGGGCGGGGCCGACTATATGATTCCCTACACCACTATGCATATTTAGTAGAGCTCTCGTAAAAAGGTTTATACAGGGCATTTCAGAGCTCTATGAGATATTTGGTACAAAATCAAAATCTATCTAATTCTATCGTGCATTTTACGAACTATAGCTATCTCTGAACCGGGTTTCTCCAAATTTTACGTATTATCTTCTAGACTGGTGATTTGGGCTGATATTGACCATTTAGTGCACATTTAACCCGAAATCGGATGAAGATATATATGAGAGCTATATCCAAATCTGAACCGATTTCGATAAAATTTAAAACAGCTATTCCTGTGCTCCATCTAATACCTGGTACCAAATATCACGGTTGTGGAGTGAATATTACGAATGTATGGGACTAAAACTCTAAATCGGATGAAACATATATATGGTTGCTATATCTATATCTGAACCGATTTTCACTAAATTTGATATACTTGCTTCTAGGCTGAATTTGGTCCGATGTACTAAAATTCAGTCCATTTGGACTTATATCGGCCATTTGGTGCACAATTAACCCGAAATCGGATGAAGATATATATGGGAGCTATATCCAAATCTGAACCGATTTCGATAAAATTACAAACAGCTATTTCTGGGCTGTATCTTATATCGCGTACCAAATATCATTCTTGTGGAGTGTATATTACGAATGTGAGAGGCTTAAACACCAAATCGGATGAAAGATATATATGGGAGCTATAGCTATATCTGAACCGATTTTCTCCAAATTTGATATACTTGCTTCTAGGCCGAACTCGGTTGGGTGTGCCAAAATTCAGGTAATTTGGACTGATAGTGGATATTTGGTGCACATTTAACCCGAAATCGGATGAAGATATATATGAGAGCTATAGCTGTTTCTGAACCGATTTTCTCCAAATTTGTTGTATTTGCTTTAAGGCTAATCTCGGTCACATGTGCCAAAATTCGGGCCATTTGGGCTGATATTGGCCATTTGGTGGTCAATTAACCCGAAATCGGATGAAGATATATATGGGAGCTATATCCAAATCTGAACCGATTTCGATAAAATTTAAAACAGCTATTTCTGTGCTCCACCTAATACCTGGTACCAAATATCACGGTTGTGGAGTGCATAGTAGGAATGTGAGGGACTTAAAGATCAAATCGGATGAAAGATATATATGGGAGCTATAGCTATATCTGAACCGATTTTCTCCAAATTTGATATACTTGCTTCCAGGCCGAACTCGGTTGGGTGTGCCAAAATTCAGGTAATTTGGACTGATAGTGGATATTTGGTGCACATTTAACCCGAAACCGGATGAAGATATATATGGGAGCTATATCTAAATTTGATCCGATTCTCACCAATTTCAATAGGGTTCGTCCTGGGGCCAAAAAAATATTGCTTGGAAAATTTCATCTCAATCGGATAACAAATGCGACCTGCATTTTGTTCACAAGAATACATGGACAGACGGACGGACGGACGGACAGACGGACTGACATGCATAAATCGACTCAGAAAGTGATTCTATGAAGGTTCTCAAAAGTAACTATGGGTCTATCTCGTTTCCTTCTCCATGTTACAAACAAATGCACAAAGACATAATACCCTTACCACCATGTGGTGTAGGGTATAAAAATCAAAATCGGGAAACTACCACTAAAATGAAAACCGTTATATGGTGACTATACGAAGACGTGGACCTGCATACGATTTTTTTTGTCATAAGTTGTAGTACCCATTAAGATCTTCAATACGAAATTTGAAACGATTCCGGTGAATAATGTTGCTGAAATCGTCAAATGCCGACTATCGGGAGGTACCGTTTTATGGGGGCTATACGAAGATCTGGACCTGCATACAACATTTTTTTGCGATAGGTTGAAGTACCCATTAGGAACTTCCAGTACGAAATTTAAAACGATTCCGGTGAATAAAGTTGCTGTCATCATCGAAATACCGAATATCGGGAGGCACCGTTATATGGGGCTATACAAAGACTTGTACCTGCATACACAAATTTTTATCATAGGCTGTAGTAGATCAGATCACGAACTTCAAATACGAAATTTCAAATAATTCCGGTAAATAATGTCGCTAAAATCATGAAAATACTGAATATCGAGGCGTACCGTTATATGGGGGCTATATTGCATGTATGCAAATTGGCCTTCTATCTCAATTAGTTCGAAAGATAGCGTAATTACAACAGACAGACGGTCAGACAGACAGACGGACTAGAATATAGATAGTTGGGTCTAAAATGTATATCTCGAGGTGTTACAAACGGAATGACAAACTTAATTTACCCTCAATACAATGGTGGAGGGTATAAAAACAGTAAAAGCAAGGCGCAGCTAACAATTTGTTATTAAGGGCCCTGATTTTAGATTATTTTGTTTCGAAATTTCTAATTATTGTTTTAGAAATTTACCGATTTCACTAATTTTTTTCAAAAAATGTGACAGATTTTCTAAACTTTTTTAAAAATCCCTGTAAAAGTTTCGAAAAAAAAAATACCAAACGCACAATTTCTTCGGATTTTCAAGGAACTTTCTATCGAATTCGGAGCCGGTTCGTTTGGAAACTCTAATATATTTTTTAGAAATTTCATTACCACGTCCATACAACTTTTGTACCGAAATCAGAAAGAATTCGGTAGCAACATGGGAAATTCCACGAAAGATTCGGATCGAATTCTGAATAAAAAGTTAGCTAGGTACATTGTCATTAATCTGTACCTTATTAACTTTATTTTGGCTTAAGGTCAATTGAAAAACATCAGTGTTTTATTTTTATAATTTTGATTTTTATTTTCCGATATTTCGATTGTCTTCGACAGTCATCTTCAGGGAAAAAATGAATAATATACTACGGGACATGTGCATATATAGACGACTAAAACGGGATCCAACTTAAAACCTACAAAATAAAAACAACAAATTGACAGAGAAATTACTAAAAAAGAATACCATAAATGTTTTTCTCAAAAAAAAAAAAACAAATTGAGTACAAACACAGCAGTTGCGCCAAGAATTTACGGACTATCCAAAATCCATAAAGAAGGAAACCCACTTAGACCGATATGTTCATCAATAAACTCCCCAACACATGAGCTTTCCAAATACATCGTGGACATTTTAAAATATTTGACAAAGGATTCTAATTATAATATCAAAGACGCGCTGGATCTAAAAGACAGAATTAAAGAAGTAACGTCTTCGTATAGCCCCCATATAACGGTTTTCAATTGAGCGGTATTTTCCGACGGATTTTTTTTTGAAATTTCAATACATTTTTTTCAAATCGCAAGACTGGATGGGGATACGTAGAAGGATTTTCCTCTGACAAAAGTAAAGGGAAGGCTATTCTGTAAAAAAGGGAAATAGTTTTTGCGTATTGAAAATATTTTTTGCAAAGACCAGATGGACTTATTCTGTCATTATAGTTTTCAGTGTATGAATGTTAATATTTTTAACATTTTAGACATCATCCAAACGTCAATGCAGCTTGAGAATAGTATAATAAAAATATATTGTTTATTATAACAAGAATAATCTTATAAATAAGGTTTCAATTTCTATTAATATATATTTCAATATTCTCTCAAGAGTTGGACAGTAACATAAGCATTTTCCCACAAACACACAGAAATATCATAAGTGACATCAACCGAGTCGATTTTTGTATAACATCTGTGTACGTTAATATATATAAATATATATAAATTTAAATTATAAACTTAGAATTGTTGTGTTAACACTAATTTTATTTTTTTCTCATTCCAGACATAGTAATATGCCTTATGATATTGGTCGCTGGAATTTCAATAATATGGAGCATTTCGATACACATAATATCGGCAGATTTCTATAATGGTTTTATAGGTGCCAAATTAGCATTTCGTGAAAGAGATTTCACCCAAATGGACAACAGTGAAAAAGATCTCTTCTATCACGACTTGGGTAGAATCATCAATGAGACATATACCGAAGCGGCCTTAGACGATATTAAACCAGATGCCTTAGTAATGCCTAAACTGGAAGATGCAGATAAATGTAAGACAAAATGTTCGTTGTATTTTGAGAAAAAGTTTCCAGCCGAAAATGTTTTTTTACAGCAGTTGCCAATACAAAACCCAAAGTTCGGAAAATTGCCCATGTCTTTCAGACGAGCAATTCCAGAGTACCTGATACCCCATCAATAGCCACAGATGATGATGTGAATGGCGAAGAATCCAACGCACCCAACAAAGTGCCAAAAGTTGTATTTAATATGGAAAAGGATCGTAGATATTTAGCGCACAGTAAGCTAGAAAAAATGTTATTATTTTAATTGATTGAAAATAATACACATTTTGTTTGTTTTTCCAGTGACAATTGATATCCATCAGACGCGTTGGCCTCAAAATATTGCCGTGCAATATATTTATGGATTCCCATTTCTCTCGGAAATTGTGGCCATAGTATGGACAGCTATGTGTTTAATATTTCAATCGGGTGTCAAAAAACAATGGTAAGTTTACATGGAATCACAGGATTTTATTATAAATAGAAGAAATTAATTTCCATGCAATTCTAAGATGCAGTAAACCGGTAAAATACCGGAAATAACAAATTTTAGACCACAGTTTTATAGATGAGATTCAAAAACTCAAATTGTGAAATTACCGTGAAATCTTTTGAAACTTGGGCTTTATCATGAAATGGTGACATAATATACGTTTCCTCTACCGACGCCATCTTTTGAAGGAAAGCAACAATGAAATATCCCATCTTATTATATTATACGTCTTTGGAGGTTTTAAAAAGATTTTACAAATTCTTTCCGACTTATAACAAAAATACTCTTTGCATTGTATTACGTATATGTAATTCCAATTAGCAACAATTTAGTAGAATTGATTAATCCTTAAAAAACTAAAGCATACTTTCAGGCGGGTGTTTGTGTTTGCAACACAAACATGTGCATTCCAGAGATGGACATATATTATTATTTTTTCTGTATTTCTTTATTATACCCTACACCACAAGGTGGTCAGGGAATTATGCCTTTGTGCATTTGTTTGTAACAGGCAGAAGGAAACGAGATAGACCCATAGTTCCTTTTGATGATCTGCATAGAATTACATTCTGAGTCGATTTATGCATGTCCGTCCGTCCGTCTGTCCATGTATTTTTTGTAAACAAAGTACAGGTCGCATTTATTACCCGATCCAGATGAAATTTTGCACAGATCATTTGTTTGGACGGACCCTATTGAAAGGACGGACCCAAGGACGAACCCTATTGAAATTGGAGATAATCGGTCAAAATTTAGAAATAGCTCCCATATATATCTTCGTCCGATTTGCCTTTTATTGTGCATCAAACGTGTAATATCAGCCCGAATTGTATGGAATGCATATACACCCAAATTAGGCCTGAAAATATGTAAGCCAAATTTGCAACAACAATATTTGGTGAAATATATCAAATACAGCTCAGAAATACATTTGCTAAATTTTATCGAGATCGGTTCAGATTTGTTTATAGCTCCCATATATAGCTTCGTCCGAGTTGCCTTTTATTGTGCACCAAACGTCTAATATTTGTCCAAATGGGATGGAATTTGGCACTTACTACCAAATTGAGTCTAGAAGCTAGTATGTCAAATTTGGAGAAGATCGGTTCAGATATAGCTATAGCTCCAATATATATTATTCATCCGATTTGTTATATTTGTTACCCACAGTCGTATTATGCACTCCGTAACAACGATATTCAGGGAAATATATCAAATACAGCTCAGAAATATCTTTGCCAAATGTTATCGAGATCGGTTCCGATTTGGATATAGCTCCCATATATATTTTTATCCGATTTCAAATTAATTGTGCACCAAATGGGCAATACAAGTCCGAATTTAAAAGATACAAATGCTTCGGCATATTTAGTTCTTTGAACTTTAAATTATAATTATAATCATAGCGTGTATGATTGAATTCTCCCATAAAAACTTTTAATTGTCATGTGGAGCTCTACTAAATTAGCAAACAAAGACATAGAAGTGTAAAGATAGGACAAGACAGAGTCAAAATATGGTAACCCTGTGGAAATACCTCTGTTGTTACGATATCATAACAACATAGTTACCAATGTTAACTGATTTAAACCGATAAGGCAATATGCAAATTTTCGGAAAGGCCCATGGAATAGAATTTTGAAACCAAAATTTTGGATTTTTCAATTTTTTATTTGTTATCCGTTTCTGTAATTGTGGATTTTATATTAATATGTCATTGCCATGAGCTGTTTATCTATGTATTGTAGACACAAACCATTTGCTCAAAATGCATTTTGTCTAGTCTTTACCATTTTAGGTCTTTGTAGCAAAGTGGTGTAGGGTATCATAAAGTCGGCCCCGCCCGACTTTAAGACTTTCTTTACTGGGTTTTGAATGCCTTCTGCAACGAAAGCAAAGGCAAGAAGAATGTTATGTAACACAACGAAAATTATCATAAAAAATTATAACTTTTATTTATTAGTAAAAAATCGATCTTATAAAAAATTATTTTCTTCACTAATAAATAGACGTTGTTTTTATAAAAACGAGTAAAAAAAGATTATGTTCGGCCGTGCTGAATTCTTACTACCCTCCACCTTTGGGTAAAGGTAAAGGTAAAGGTGGTGGTACATTTTTATATAAAAGTATATGAATTCAAGCGTGTTTCACTTTCAAAAACCGAATATCGATGGGTATCGTTATACATGCGCTATAAGAAAACGTGGAACTAAATATTCAATATTCTGCCACCGGGCTAGAACCCATTGTGAACTAATTTTTTTTTGCCAAAATATCGAATATTGGCAGGTACAGTTATATGGGGGCTATACTTAAAAGTGGACCTACACATACAATGTTTCGCCACCGGAGCTAGAATCCATTATGACCTAAAAATACAAATTTTTTTAGAAATCCGTGGAAAAATGTGGCAAAAATCATTAAAATATTGAATATCGAAAGGTTCCGTTACATGGGGACTATAACGAAAAATGGACCTATATATACAATGTTTCGCCACCGGAGCTAGAACCCATTACGACCAACAAATACCAAAAATATAAAAATTTGTGGGGAAATGTGGCAAAATCATCAAAACACTGAATATCGGAAGGTACCGTTATATGGGGCTATACAAAAACGTGGATCTATACATACAATGTTTCGCCCCCGGCGCTGGAACCCATTGTGACCCACAAATACCAATTTTTAGACAAATCCATGAAAAATGTGACACAAATCATCAAAATATCGAATATAGGGAGGTACTGTTATTTGGGGACTATACCAAAACATGGATCCACACTTGCAATGTTTCCCCATACGAGCTAGAACCCATTATGGCCTACAAACACCAATTTTTAGACAAATCAGTGGAAAAATGTGGCAAAAATCAACAAAATACCGAATATCGGAAGGTACCGTTATATGGGGACTATATCAAAACGTGGACCGATATAGTTTCAGTTTCAATACCAACCATCCTAGGCAGAACAAAAATTGTTCTGCTAAATTTTGAGCTCTACGTCAACAATTGTGGGCTGTATCGTAACTTCAACAGACAGACAGACGGACATCGTTAAATCGACTTAGAATTTTATGCTGATTATGAATATATATACTTTATGGGGTCTAAGACGAATATTTAGGGATGTTACAAACGGAATGACAAAGTTAATATACCCTCCTTTCCAAGGTGGAGGGTATAAAAATAGCCGGGTATGCTCCGCTTCCCCTTTTGATTTTATATCCATTCAAAATTTTATATACGAATATTGAGAATACTGCAAAGTCGTGGTGGGTCTAATTTCTAAATCTGAATTTATTTCTACTTATGGAAGCTATATTCAAACCTGAACCGATTACATTAAAATTTGTGAAATTCATTTTTGTACAGAATTCCGTCACTCACTCTAAATTTCATTGGAAATACATGAAGTTTCAATATAATTTTCTAATGTGTTATTGTTCTACATACCGTTGCACATTCGAAATGTTAAGACTGCATATGTAATCGATCAAAAGATATGTGCATACAAGATATAATTTTTTTGGAGGTACCTCAGGTTCCCTTTTATGGATATAAAGATGCAAAAATGTTGTTGTTGTCCTAATAAAGAATGTTATTGTAAATTTTGTATAATTGGTATAACAGCTTTACATTTAAAAGGCGTATAATCATTGCCCACGTTAGAATGTTATAAGATGTCGAAATAATCTTCATGAATCGTAATAATAATATCAGGCATTTCTCGGTCCAATTCTTCTTGCACGTACCAACAAAAGGCGAAATTGTAAAACAAAAACATAACTCTAGAAAGAATGGTAAATAATTCACTGATTTTCTTACGCCTTCAAACTTTCTGTAAATCTTACATTCTGCGTATAGATAGTACCTATCGACCCACTCCCAAAATGTTCAAAATTTAAAACAGAAAACACAACCTAATAATACAAACAGCTTTATCTGAGGTGAGTAAATTGGTAATATCGACCCACTGTTTTTAGTACCTCCGTCACAAAGTGTCAAAATTTTGATTTTCGTTAAACTTTAGATGTATTGATGACATGCGAAAATGAAAAATATCAGTTCTGGATCATTCTACAAAGGGACACAAGTTTCAATAGTAATTAAAGAACAAAATTTAAAAATTTGTTTTTCCCAAATTTCTTTACAAGTTGAGAGAGAGGAACATGTTTATAAGTGCGGTAGTAAGATTTAGAAGAAAGGCCCAAAAAGCAAGATGTGTATTGGTGGCCCTTTTCGAAACCTAGGTATTTCCTGGCTTAACCCTGGTAAACATTACCATCTTTCTCCACTTAAAAACAAATGTTGTTTTTATAAAAACAACAATAATGGTATTAAGCCTGACTATTTTGCAACAACAAAAAACAAATATAGATACCATGTAAATTTGAAATAGAACAAGTAAAAAAGCTGTAAGTTCGACATGGACATGGACCTGCATAGGTATGGGAAACTTAAAAAAATCGGTGAATAACGTAGCTAAAATCATCAAAATACCGAATATCGGGAGGTACCGTTATATGGGGACTATATGAAGACTTAAACCTGTACAGACATTTTTCTGTTTTATGATGTAGTATCCAATTCGAACTTCAAATACCAACATTTCCGGTGAATAATGTCGCTTAAACCACCAAAACACCGAATAACGGAGGTACCATTATATGGGGTATACCAAAACGTGTACCTACTTCATTTCGTTAGGAATCTAGAGTGATTTCCACAGACCGACATACAGATAGACGGACGGACATCGCTAAATCGATATAGAATTTTATGCTGATCAAGAATATATACGTTGTGGGGTCTAAAATGCAAATTTCGAGGTGTTATAATCGAAATGAAGAACTTAATATACCCTCCATACTATGGTGGAGGGTATAAAAAAACAAATCTAGGTGCCTTGCAAATTTGAAATGGAAAAATTACTTTCGTTTGGTGATTTATGGATCAAATAGCTTAGTCATATTCTGAGAGATACATATCTATATCCATGAGAGCATATATATCTATAGCGAAACGGACTGATACTATCTAACTTCTTTAAGTTACCTTTTTAAACTGTATAAATCTTATTACATTTAACAATTATTTCCACTTGTCTTTTTTCAGGGGACTTCCGAAACCTTGGCGAATTGTGGTACCCTCAATAATTATGTTCAGCATTATGACTGTAGCAAATCTAAGCTATTTGATATTAGCTAATGGCTTTATTAAGACTTTTTGCAATGACTTAAGAGAAAATCTCAGTAAACCAGATGCTATAAGGTAAAGATACCATACTTCCTGAGTACCATTTTAATTTGATGAACACAACATTTACTCTTTCTTACAGTTGTGGAGATGCCATGTCCGTTTTGAGACCTCTAATTCGACCACATGACTTATCACATCAAGTGTACTTAATGCTATTCAAAGGTTCATATATCGTGGCCATGGTCCTCTGGATAATAGCGCTTCTGATTATGTTACTACGCTTCATCTTGGCCATCGATTTTCAAATGGTCGATATAGAGACGAGCTATGATCGTGAAATGCGCGTGGGTAATCTTCGAGAAAGGGACTTTGTGGAAGTTCTGTTGAGTTCGCCGCAACATCTGAAAACACCGCAATTAGGATCGAAAGACGAACGCCATCGTTCTGAAGATGATTTCCAGAGTGCAAAATCACATATAAGTGAAGCAGCGACACCTTTACTGGATAACTTGGCAACAACTGTGCCCATGACCATGGGCGAAAGAAGAACTTAATCACTTTTGTGTTTTCTTTTCATTTGCGATATTAAAACTGTTGCATTATTTCAGTAAATTTCGTGTACACTCAATCTCATAGAATACACACTGCGATATATAACAATTTTTGTATGAAATCTCAGGTATTCATGTTTCGACATTACGATTATCCATTAATAGTTGTGTTTAATTCCAGTTATCCATAAACACATGGTATTTAAAATTGACACACCTTGTCAACAAATTCCAATAATATGTTCCATAAAGTGCCTCGAAAACAATTTTCTTTGTTTCTATAGATAACAATATTTGATTTTAGTTAATTAATTAACACAAAGAAAAAACAATAAAATGTATTTATAATTTTTAATTTTAGATTTATTACATTTCCTTTAGAATGTATGAAATTGTGCAACATATGTATGTCTATGTGTATATGCATCTTCTCCTTTCTTTCCTTTTTTATATATGAATGTACGTATGTTTAACAACACTGTGTGACATTAATAAGAATAATATTTTTACCAAAACAAAAGGGATTATCTTTTTAATTCACAGGGCAAATTTGTTTGCAGTACTTTACCGTTCAACGGTTATGAAGTTAAGGCGATTGAATGAGTGACTCTAAAGTATCACATTTTATACCAATTTCATGGTAATGGTTTTAGTTTCCAAATAATTATCCAAACCATCTTTTCCTAATTCGCGTCCAATGCCGGAGTGTTTATAACCGCCAAATGGTGTTTGTGGCAAAACAGCATCATAGCAATTTATCCAAACGGAGCCGGCATCAACATTATTGGCGAAATACATCGCCTTGTTAATGTCATTGGTAATAATGCCAGCGGCCAAGCCATATTTGACATTATTAGCACGGTCAATCATCTCTTCAATGTTGCTAAATTTGAAAATGGACTGAACTGGGCCAAAGATCTGTAAACGAAATAATATATGAAATTCAGTTGGATTCTTTCTAAATTATAAACAAGTTCAAAGGATAAAGTTTTGCCGGAAAAAACTATTCATACCGTCAACTACAATGGAAAAACTTATACCCCAACAAAACTTCTTTACAAAATTTTTAAACCTTTAATTCCAATCAATGTCAATGTTCAATGTTAATAATGAGTTTAAATGATTTCGGATTCATCATCACTTTGGATGAAAGGTGTCATGATTTTTAAAAATGCGGCTAGAAAGCAGTCCCTTTTGCATCTGGATTTTTTGATTTTTGCGAGACTCCTTGGACACTTGTTAACATATTAAAAAAATGTTTAAGGAATTCCTTTGAATTTTATTTTCGGACTTTAGAAAGTATAAGAAATACATTTTTGTTGTAAATTTTAGCATTTTGAGCTACAATTAAAAAATTAAATTGGTTGCAAATAGGTTATTGTTGAAATATGAAAAATTGAATGTATCTTTCATAACTCTATGTGGACTACTTCAAAGGAAGCAAAGAAGGCACTAATAAAAAGGAACTAAATCAATTTTACTTTGCTGGGTTGGTGCTATCGTTATACGAGTTACATTTCAAAACCTTTAAAACTACTTAATACTAACTACAAGATGGCTCTACCAGAAGGCGAACACAAAATGTGCCAAAGTCTTTCAGAATATCATTTCAAAAAAAAAAAAAAAAAAATAACACCCAAATTATAAACCTTTGCAACTTTGGCTGGGATTTAACGATGACAAATTATGCTGATAGAATTCCCTTACTTTTGCGAGAATTATATAAAATCATATTGTGAACTTCCCACAATAAAGTGAAAAATTTAGGACAAAGAACCATAGTTGCTATTTTTTGTTCTTCGATCGGATCGAACGTCATTCAAACCTAACACTGTCGACAGAGTAGGTACTACTTCATGACGTGGGGAACGCGTACACTCCGTATTCCGAACTGCCGTTAAACATCAACTGGTTGAATACATTAACTATAGTATGTTCTCCTTGCACTTAATCGTGTTTTGGATATTTGAGTGGGAAGTACAAAACATTTTTTTCCTCAAGTAATGATCAAGTAATCAAGTAATATTGAATCCAAATGTTAGGAATACATCCTAATATCTTTGAAGTATAATATAATTCTCATAATAACTGCTTTCAAAAATCATAAAAGGTTAAGATACGCATACTTACTTCCTCTTGGGCAATCTTCATGTTATCAGTAACATCCGAAAAGACTGTCGGTTCAATAAAGAAACCAATATCACCGATACGTTTACCGCCACACTGAAGCTTGGCACCATCGGATTTGCCACTTTCAATATAACCCAAAACTTTGGTCATCATCTCTTCGTCAATTTGTGGACCTTGGGCAACAGTCGAATCAAAAGGATCACCTACTTTACGAGCTTTAGCTTTGGCAACAGTCTTGGCAACAAATTGATCGTAAATCTTTTCATGGACATAGGTGCGACTACCGGCACAGCAACTTTGGCCATGGTTGGCAAACAAGGCTTCAAAGGTTATTTCCACAGCCAAATCAACTGAAAGGGGATACATTTTAGGTAATGATATTTCACAGTCAATAAAAACAATTTTTGATCTTACTATCGGCATCGTCGAACACCACCACTGGACTTTTACCGCCCAATTCCAAGGAAACACGTTTAAGATTGGATTTAGCAGCAGCTTCCATAACAATGCGACCAACATCAACGGAGCCAGTAAATGCGACCTTTTGAATGTCAGGATGTTCAGATATGGCAGCACCTGCGGTGGGACCATAACCGGTAATAACGTTTATAACACCAGCTGGAAAACCAGCCTCCTTGGCCAGGGCAGCCATATGCAGTGCGGACAATGGTGTTTGCTCGGCGGGTTTCATAACAATTGTACAACCAACAGCCAATGCTGGACCCCATTTCCATGACAACATCAAAAGTGGATAATTCCATGGAATAATTTGTCCAACAACACCGATTGGTTCCTTGCGGGTCATAGAAATGAATCCACCAGCTGGAATGGTATCTCCAAAGAATTTGTCAGTCCAACCGGCATAATATTTCAATGTCATAATTGAAATCTCTACATCGAACAAAGCTTCAGCATAAGGTTTGCCATTATCGCGAGTTTCAATGTTGGCCAGGAATACCTTATCACGTTCCATTAAATCACATAGTCTGTAAATTCGAGATATGGTGGAAATCGAGGAGAATTTGTTTTGTCACAATGTATCTTACCTTAGCATTAATTCAGTACGTTTCAAAGGAGCCATTTTGCGCCATTCCGAATTCCTATGGAAAGCCTTTTTGGCAGCAGCAACTGCTAAATCAACATCGGCCTATGTTATGTATTTTTAAATTGTTTAGACATATTAAAATTATAATGGATTTTATATATTACCTTATCACCCTCGGCGACTTCGACAATAACTTTACCGGTAGCTGGATTTACCGTTGGAAAAGTCTTCCCGGACTTGGCATCAACAAATTCATTGTTGATAAAAAGCTGGAAATACAGTTAAAATATTAAAGAATTATTATTATACAAAGAATTATTGATGGAATGGACGAAAATACAATTTTTTATGTTCAACAACATTTTATAGCCACGTTGTAGTAATAAATTAAGGGTCGTTGACGATTACACTTACTTTATTTAAATAGAATTCCATTTATTTAAAGTGTAGTTCTGTTGGACACAAACATGAAAACAAGGAGCAGGCCAAATAAAAAAATAAAATTATCTCATTCATACTTTAACTTTTACAAGATAAGCAATGACTATTCAACACAAGTGTCTGGTTGAATATCATTCTCTGTACGACAAACTATATGGCTACATAAACATTAAACAATTAATGATGATTTATTATTTAAGTAATGTTGTTTTAGTTGATTGCGATTGTAGTTTTCAATTGCAATATAATTTGTTTTAACAATTCCCTAGAGTCAATAACCTGTAAACATATTATCTGTACGCATACAGATGGTAATTTGTTTAAAGTTGGTTTAGGTCCTATGAAACAAATAATAACAATTACAGTTTATTTAATAGTCTTTACCCACTCCAATAAATCTTATTGTATTTTTTAAAAATTACGCTATTTTTCTAATTATGAATATAAACGCTTTTACACTGAGTTGTGTTTTTTTTTTTTTTATTTAATGCGAATAATATATACTGGATTTGAACTAAGTATAATTTACCACGAGAAATACTAATGTAAAAGAATACAAAAATTTTCCTTAAATTCAATAAGCCCAAATCGCTTGAAAAAAGTCTACGAAACAAGCACTAGTAGAAGCAAAGGAAAAATCCAGGAGATTATGAAAGTAATGCTAAATGTAGAATACCCTGTGACGAAGATTTTACGGAAACTAAAAAGGGAACACATTTCTCAGTCTTCTTTATTTTATGAAATATTCGGATTAAAATGTCTACATAATATTACTATAAGACACCAAAGGAAATAAATCACTATTTCCAAAAAAGGTCACTATGATTTGATTGGCCCAAAAATGATGAAATACCTCGAAATATTGGTCCCCGGCATATGAAACTATATATGGACTTTCCAATCTTGCCGAGCTGAGTCGATCTAGCTATGTATGTGCGTCCGTTCGTCTGTCCATGTTAATTTGTAATCACGCTACTGGTCACAATTATGGACCGATCCTCACTAAATTGATAATGGAGGTGGAGTTAGGGTCAGAATAGAACCGTATTGTATTTGGAGATGATTGCAAAATATTTAGGCGTTGAAATGGACGAAAAACAGAAAAATATATCTTATTTATTCCGCTTATATGTCAAGATCCGTTGCGCCGATTTTCACAATTTCCATCAATTTTAAATGGTCTTTTGCCAAAAAAGTATAAAAACTAAAAAATACAATGAAGAAGTGACTATTTTTGTTACATTTTTTCAATTTTTGTCATATTTTGCCATTGCATGCAATTTTTGAATTTGACGTACAATTTTGAATTGTTTATTTTAGTTTTTCTAAACTCCGAAAAGCTATATGTTGAGGCTATTATATACAGATCGCAATTATGGTCCGATCCTCACGAAATTTTGCATGGGGGTAAGGTTAGGGTCAAAATTAAAGCCTATTGTTTTTGAAGATGTGCATTTAGTGTTCAAATGGACCAAAGACAGAAAATTTTCCTGATTTTGCTGTTGCTCTAAAGGTCACAACTGAAAACCAATTGACACGGAATTTTGCATGATGAAAGAAACATTTTGTGTCGATTGGCTTCAATTGTGTGATTTGGAAATTTTTCTGTTTTTAGTTCATTTAAACTCCTAAATAATTGCAATCTGTATATAATAAGGTGAAAAATATTACAAAATATACACTTCAATATTATAAATTCAATAAAAATATTCACAAAACACTACAAAATCTATATTAACATCATTATTGGCATCTTTGTATGCCAGTTTTTAGATTTTATTCTTTTATGCCAATAGAGCATTCTGAATTGACAAAAATTGTCAAAATCGGTCCAGCCATTTTTGAGATATAAACATTTTAGCTAACATCCCCTTCCTTTGTATATATACATTGTATATATTTCGCTATATACATCGGATATATTTACTATTGGCATCTACGTAACGGTCAGAATTGACTTGTTTGTCTAGTTGTGATCTCGCCGGAATTAAAAAATATTCGCGGTTTAATGGAAAATTTGACCTTTATTTAACACAAATGTTATGGTCTATTTCACCCACTAAATATTACCCGATGACCATCCACATTAGAATACTTCTGCTAGTCCTAAATCTAGTCCCATGCTAACTTCCGCTTCGATTGGTCTATAATTGCGACCTGTAGAGCAACTGCAAAATCAAGAAAATTTTTCAGTTTTTGGTCCATTTCAACCCCTAAATATTATTCGATCATCTCCAAAAACAATAGGCTGCTATTCTGGCCCTAGCCCCACCTCCATTCTAGATTTCGTGCGACCTGCACAGTGATTACAAATTAACATGGACAGACGGACAGAGGGACATACATAGCTAGATCGACTTAGCTCGGAGAGATTTCAATAGGTGCTGTATTTTAAACCCATGGGTCATATCGGTACACTTTTTGGTAAAACTACCTCGAAAACAATTTAATAAACGGTATAATCGGACCCTTATCCAATTTAATTGGTTTGAAAATACAATAGACACAATCAAAAAGTGAACAAGACTGCATCGTAGCCTACCACAACTATGTAAAAATGTTTGACTATAGGCCTCGAGTTTAATTTGAAAATATTAATCTTATTATACTCAAAGGTACATTAATAGATATAACAATTAATTTCGAATAGAAATTCTGCTATTGTATATATTATTAAAGTTATTGTAACCTCTTAAAGTCCGTACTAGACATAAATATATTCTAAGAAGATAATATTGACGGAGGAATCAAACAATTTTATTCTTATCAACGTTTTGTTTGTTGTACAGAGTACATCATCAGAATATAAATTATTTTATCATCTTGCTTGAAAACCTCATAATGAATTTTACTGCTTTCAAGTTCTTATCGCAGTTCTTTTTCTCATTGCAAATCTTTTTTTATTTGTACCTACATACACAAAATCAAATATATATGTATTAAAAATATTGATCGGAGAGAACTTGACGATTTTATTGCTGGATCAAGATAAAATCTCCAAATTTTTGTTACAAAACGGACGCTATGGAACAGATAATTTATAATGCCAATCTTTCTAGGTACTCAAAAATGGTTCTGTTTTTTGTTGTAAATGTCTACATGTCCTAACACATAATAAAATTATAAAGAAAGGAGAAAAGACGGACCGGCCCACTTTATGACACCCCTCACCAATATGTATATTTGGTTTATAAAGTAGTTAGTAGTCTTCGAACTACTAACTACGATCTTTATTGAAATCAGTTTCAATTTTTTGTCGATTTCGACCAAATATCGGAACTATAGTTAAGTCTGAACAGATTTTCACTAACATTTGACGTAATTGCTTGCTGGCTAAATTCGGATGCTATAGCGAAATATGTCTATATCTGAATCGATGATCACCAAAACCCATCCATTTTTTGGTAATAAGAAGTATATAGCAAATTATAGTCTTACTTGCCACTATACATTGTTGGGTTTGACTAATTGTAGGTCTTAGCAAAATAATCTCTCTGTGCACGTTGTGTGGTTGTACCTAGCGATATGCAATATTTCTCCCAAGGAGATTTACATCTACCACGATTTCTCCCCCATGGATGTTTTCAACGCATAGCATTGCTCTACAAACTTACAAACTGGTTCTAATTTTGCAAAAACAAATCTTATTCTTTCACTTTGCTATAGGTATCATATGCAATTTTCTAGTATTAGAATTATTTAAAATCAATCTTACCTTCGTATATTTAGGTTCTTCATGTGGATTTGCCATTTTTATAATTTTTCCAAATTATTTTATCGAAGCAAATAGCAGACGAAACACTCGCAGATAAACGCAAAACTGGGAAAATTTTCTGCCGGCCGGCTCCCGATTTGACAACAAACTTGTTTGGTGGAACTAATTTTTTTATTTAGTTGTCAGTTGTTTATATACGGAGCAGCACAATGTGTTGCTCTCAGAGGCTGAATTTATTGCTTTTTATGTATATTTATTGGAATGGATGTAAGATAGTGATTATAGCGTTGCCACTTTTTGCTGACAGGAATTGACCAAAAATACATTATGTAGGAACGCAGATATGTTTATGTGGGTATAGTAAACGATCTAACACGCCTGGTATAGTACGGCGTGATAACATTTCCAGTAGGAATTACTCAGTATCATGTGGTCTCTCTGGTGAATGTTATCAAACGACATTCAGTATAAAATAAGCGTTACACTTTTAATCTGTTGAATTGAATGTTTATTATCTGAAAAACGTGCACAACTTTATTGGACATTTTTTCTACAGCAACTTTCAGTAGACTCTCAACGCATAACTGTTTCATATGTCCCTCATTTTTCTTTCATTCACTCGATTTTTACTAATAACACAACGTAATGTAAAAATTTTAAGTTCATCTGATTTTTTTTTTTGTATCCTTCGAAATGAAGAAACGTATGTATATTCATTAATTAAATGAATTAAAAACATTTAGACCTTCAGAATACAAACATTTACGGGGGACAATCCAGAACCTGGACATTCATTCGAATATATTAAAGCTACTTTCGGTGGAGAACGGCTAAGAAGCTTCAAAGCTCTCCAAATCGGCATGAACCGCAATATGGTGCTTATATCTAAACGTGAACTGATATAAAAAAATCGAAAGACGATTTTTCATTTCATGAAAACCAAGATGCGTAATCACTTTCCGACTCAGTGGAGTTCTTTTTGCAAAAGTATAGAACTTAGTTTTTATATGGAGCATATACTACTTTGGCATTTTCATGGTTTTTGTCACGTATTTGTCTAAAAATTGGTATTTGTTGGTCGTAATGGGTTCTAGCTCCGGTGGCGAAACATTGTATATATAGGCCCACGTCATCAAAATCTCGAATATCGGGAGGTGCAGTTATATGGTAACTAACTTGTCTATATTTTCATTTGTCTATGGTGTGAGTACAAAAGCAACTTGGCGTGATGTTTAGGTATATTAATGTCAATTATAAGGAAAAACGATGGCAGGATTCGAGTATGGCTCTGGCATCCCTTTATGATATGTCACAATGGTGTGAGTACAAAAGCAACTTGGCGTGATGTTTAGGTATATTAATGTTAATTATAAGGAAAAACGATGGCAGGATTCGAGTATGGCTCTGGCATCCCTTTATGATATGTCACAATGGTGTGAGTACAAAAGCAACTTGGCGTGATGTTTAGGTATATTAATGTCAATTATAAGGAAAAACGATGGCAGGATTCGAGTATGGCTCTGGCATCCCTTTATGATATGTCACAAAATATGGCATGCGAAGACTTCTTAAATAATTATACCCTTGTTTGGGATTTTCTAATATGAATACAATATGGCAACTTCCTATTTGCTTTCCAACATAGAAAAGCTTTAAAATGTATCTTTCGCCGTTTTATGCGTTATCTCATAGTTATCTGCCAAACTGTCATGACAATGGATTTAGAGCTGTGCTATAAGTGTCAAAATTAAATACAAGATGGCGCTGTTTTTCGAAACGGAAATTAAACTACACCCTCAATCATGAGATGATTGATATATTAAATTACTCATTTCAATACCAATGATTCAAAAAATTTATCTGACATACAATAAAAAATATACATTTTTTAATTGTCTTTATTATTTAATTGTCCAGTTTTGAGCAAAATTGAATGGCTTGTTTGTCTTACTAACCACAGATTTCCCAAATTAGTTGTAACAAACAATTCTCTGTATTAAAAATATTTATTTCTATAGACCAAGGTATAGGTCGATATATCTATTCCAATTCTCTATCACAAATCCGAGTTTGTTATGTAGCGGTTTCCTTCCGAATGCACTCATTTATATGTTGAATCATAACTCGGTGCTGAAATGAAAAAAAGTCTATAAAAAAAAAAAAAAAATAAACAAGTAAAAACGGCCAGTCCGAACTTTTTTTGTAAAAAAATTTGAATAGAAGAAAGTTCCTAACATACTTGGCAAAATATACAACACATCTTGGGAATATAATATTATAAAAATATTTTGTCATAACAATTTTTTAACATTATTATTCAATCTCATAGCAGACATAAAAAACTGATAAAATTAATTATAATTGCAAAAATAAACTATTTATACTACTACAAAAGTAAGCGTAATAGAATATTATTAGTTTCATAAGCTTATTCTACAATAACAAGTGTAAACTTACAAATAAAGGTGTGAGTACAAAAGCAACTTGGCATCATGTTTAGGCATATTAATGTCAAATTGTAAGGAAACACCGAAAAAATCTTTCCCATTAGTTAAAGAAAACATTTTTATATAAAGGTAACTTGATTCGGCTGGGTTCCACCTTAAACTACATATACTAGTAAGATAAATAAAAACCAAAAAGTGTGTAAAGACCGTTATATGGGGGTCATACCAATACAGGACGTTATGTAGACAATTTTATACTACAAAGAGTTTTGTCTATTGCAGGTCTTAAAGTTTGAACAATTCCGTGGGCTAATGTGACTAGGATTATCAAAATAACGAATACCATAACAGTGGAGAATGTTTTGACACTGGTTGTAGAACCCATCATGAACTTCAAACTACACAAATCCGTTGGAAAATGTAGCTCAAATCATTAAAATACCGAATAGCTATTAAATCATGACAAAGTCCACATTATTTGACATAGAGCTTCAAAATTTGGCAGAACAATTTGTATTGTGTCTAGGATGGTTGGTATTGAAAATGAGATATATCCGTCCATGTTTTGATAAAGCCGCCCGATATTCGGTATTTTAATGATTGAATGAGCTACGTATTGGTATAGACGCCATATAACGGTACCTCCAGATATTCGGTATTTTAATAATTTTTGCACATTTTTCACGGATTTGTCTAAAAATTGGTATTTGTAGTTTGCAAGGGGTTTTAGCTCCGGGCGGAACATAGTATATATAGTTCTACGTTTTGGTATAGCCCCCAAATAACGGTACCTCCCGATATTTGGCATTTTGATGATTTTTACCAAATTTTTTGTATATAACGGTACGTTCCGATATATGCTATTTTAATTATTCTTCCCACACTTTCCACGGATTTGTCTAAAAATTGGTATTTGTACTTCATAGCGGGTTCTAGCTCCGGCGGCAGAACATTGAATATTTAGTTCCACGTTTTCCTATAGCGCACATAAAACGATACTCACCGATATTCGGTGGGTGTTTCAAATTTGATATTTAAGAAGATTTGGTAGATGATAATCCTTGAAGTATAAAATTATCTATTGAGGTTCTCATTTTGGTATGGCCCCCATATTACGGCCTCACCCACTTTATGGTTTTTACGGTGTGTACGAGTAGTTTAAAGCGGAACACGTTTGAATTCAGATATTTTATATAAAAATGTTTTCTTTACCCAAAGGTGCAGGGTATTAAAAGTTCGGGCCGGTTTATTGTTAAAAAGTAAAGGAACAAAGCTAATGTTAGAACTTACCTAAAGACGATACTAATCTATTGCCATTTTCATTCTGACCAGTGTTGCTGTTTGTAGCATTAGGAACTGAGAGAAAGTTTTTAAGTTTTGACCACAAATCTCCAGAAAATGATATAATTGGTTGCTGTATAGACTTTTCTTGTTTGATGCAATGACTCTCTTTGGGTAGTTGCTTAGCATCCAATGAAAAGTGATCCAAAAATTTCAAATGTGGCAAGGATTTTGAAAGAACATCTCTAGGGAAGAATATGAAAACAAAACACCATTATTTAATTCTATAATATGAAATGATGTTTGTAATAGGTCTACAGTTGATGGCATCATGTTATGTATACAGGATAAATAACAGCATTGTTTTAATAAATGGCCAAGAATGTTATTTTATACTCAAATAGAAAATAGGGAAGACTTTAATTTCAGGATTGTACCACAAATCCTAAAAAAATACCTTAGTTTTTTGTTCGGGGGTTGTATCTATGGATATTCTTTTTATACCCTACACCACATAGTGGTAAGGGTATTATGTCTTTGTGCATTTGTTTGTAACATGGAAAAGGAAGCGAGATAGACCCATAGTTACTTTTGAGGATCTCCATGGAATCACTTTCTGAGTTGATTTATGCATGTCAGTCCGTCTGTCCATGTATTCTTGTGAACAAAATGCAGGTCGCATTTATAATCCGATTGAGATGAAATTTTGCACAAATCATTTGTTTGGCCCAAGGACGAACCCTATTGAAATTGGAGATAATCGGTAAAAATTTAGATATAGCTCCCATATATATCTTCGTTCGATTTGCCTTTTATTGTTCACCAAACGTGTAAAATCAGCCCGAATAGTATGGAATTTTGCACATACAACCAAATAAGGCCTGAAAATAAGTATGCCAAATTTGATAAAAATCGGTTCAGATATAGCTATAGCTCCTATGTATATGTTTCATCCGATTTGTTATTTTTGTTCTCCGCAGCCATAATATGCACTCTGTAACAAAAATATTTGGGGAAATATATCAAATACAGCTCAGAAATACCTTTGCTAAATTTTATCGAGATCGGTTCAGTTTTGGATATAGCTCCCATATATAACTTCGTCCGATTTACCTTTTATTGTGCACCAAACGTCTAATATTTGCCCAAACGGGATGAAATTTGGCACTTACGACCGAATTGAGTCCATAAGCTAGTATGTCAAATTTGGTGAAGATCGGTTAAGATATAGCTATAGCTCCCATATATATTGTTCATTCGATTTCAAGTATTTGTTACACACAGCCGTAATATGCACTCTGTAACAACGATATTTCAAGAAATATATCATATACAGCTCAGAAATATATTTGCAAATTTTTTTCGAGATCGGTTCAGATTTGGATATAGCTCCCATATATATCTTTATCTGATTTTAAATTAATTTTGCACCAAATGGGCAATACAAGTCCGAATTTAAAAGATACAAATGCTTCGGCATATTTGGTCCTTTGAACTTTAAATTATAATTATAATCATAGCGTGTATGATTAAATCCTCCCATAAAAACTTTTAATTGTTACGTGGCCCCGCCCGACTTTAGGACTTTTTTTTACTGATTATTAAATCAATCTTTTACAAAATATATTTGACTGTCATATGAATAATAGAGGAGTAAAGTAAAGTCAATTTTGTTCATATATATGTTGTAAAAAGCATTTTCCCTACAACTGATTTTGAGTATTTCCTAACAATTTTTATATAATTAAGAAGAATTCCCACACATACACAACTAAAGTTGACATATTAATAGGAGGTGAAATAAAGCTACCTCTAAATTTAATTTTTTTTTCGTTTCTACAATCTGTAACAAAAATCTGTATTTTTGACGTTAATTTTAAAAATTTGACAATTTTAAAAATTTCGAATAAAAATTGTTTCTTCCTATATTGAATTCAATTTTGTACAAATAGATGTAAAAAGTGTAGAATACACCAAACCATTTTCATGCGTTAAAGTATAGTTTATGTAAAGTATAGTTTACACAATTTTTCTATTTCCTTTGAATTTAAACTATTATTGTGGTTGTGCCTTAGAAATAATTAAGTGGTATTATTGTTCAGGTATTTTTATACCCTCCACTCCTCCTCCTTATACCCTCCACTCCTCCTCCAAAATTCTAAGACGATTTAGCCCTGTCCGTCCGTCTGTTGTAATCACGCTATAGTCTAAACGAATTAAGATAGGAAGCTAAAACTTTGCACAGATCTCTCTTTTGTCTGCAAGGAGGTCAAGTTCGAAGATGGGCTATATCGGTCCACGATATCGTACCACATAACGGTGCCTCTCGATATTCGATATTTTGATGATTTTACCCACATTTTTCAACGGAATTGTCTGAAATTCTACGCAAGGAGTTCTTTGTGAGTGCTTTATTCCCTGAAAGAGAGTTGTCTATATAGGTTCACGATATCGTATATTCCCCATATAACGGTACCCTCCGATATTTGGTATTTTGATGATTTCAGCCACATTTTTCAACGGAATTGTCTGATAATCCTCACAAGGAGTTCCTTGTGGGTACTTTATCTCTTGGAAAATAATTATCTATATAGGTCCATGATATCGTATAGCCCCCATATAACGGTACCCCCCAATATTCGGCATTTTGATGATTTTAGCCACATTTTTCAACTGAATTGTCTGAAATTCTACACAAGGAGTTCTTTGTGAGTACTTTACTCCCTGAAAGAGACTTGTCTATATAGGTCTTCGATATCGTATATCCTCCATATAACGGTAGCCTCCGATATTCGGTATTTTGATGATTTCAACCATATTTTTCAATGGAATTGTCTGAAATTCTACACAAGGGGTTCTTTTTGAGAACTTTACCCCCTGACAGAGAGTTCTCTATATAGGTTAACGATGTCCTATAGCCCTCATATAACGGTACCCCCCTTTATTCGGTATTTTGATGATTTTAGCTATATTTTCTAATGGTGTTGTCTGAAAATTCACACAAGGAGTTCCTTGTGAGTACTTTACTCCCAGACATAGATTTGTCTGTATAGGTCCACAATATTGTATATCCCCCCATATATCTGCACCATCCGATGGATTTTATTTTCTTGAAAATTTTCCAAATTCGTTCCAAATGGTGGAGGGGTATTCAAAATTCGGCCCGGCCGAAATTACTGTTTTTTTACTTGTCGTACTTTAGAATAGGGCTCCAAACGAATTCTACCAAAAACAAAATTTTATTTATTCTATCTATCGATTTGGACATTTTTTACTTAGTCATCCGGACTGAACTCCTTAAACATCTAAACCTTTCAATGTATGGAATATGGGACATTTAAGATACATTTTTTGAAACTCTTCATTCGTCAGTGATTCCAACTCCTACTTTATCTGAGAGTAAGTAAAATGGTAAAATTTGAATTAGAACAAGTACAAAAGCAGTAAGTTCGGCCGGGCCGATCTTTGAATACCATCCACCATTTGGAACAAACTTGGAAATATTCAAAAAAAAAAAAAAATCCGTTAAAAATTCTGTTAAAATTTTAAAAATGCCGAATGTAGCCATTATTTTAAGGTCTATACGACGACGTCGACCTGCATCGTCAAATTTTGTCATAAGCTATTACAATATTCAAATTCGAAACTTAAAAAAAAAATGGTGAATAATGTAGCTAAAATCATTGAAATACCGAATATAGAGAGGTACTATTATATGGGGCTATACCAAAACGCGAACCTGCACAGACAATTTTCTGTAACGGGCTGTACTATCCATTACGAACTTCAAATACCAAATTTGAAACAATTCCGGTTAATAATGTCTCTGAAATCATCAAAATATATCGGAAGGTACCGTTATATGGGGGCTATATGAAGACGTGGACCTATCCATTACGAACATCAAATACCGAATTTGAAACAAATTTGATGAAAAATTTCACTAAAATTATCAAAGTACCGAATATAGGGTTGTACCGTTATGTGGGGGCTATACCAAAATGTGGACCAACATGGCACATTTTCAATACCAAAAGTCCTGCAGAAATAATATACATTTGAGTAAAATTTTATCAACCTACTTCATTTCGTTCGGAATCTAGAGTGATTTCCACAGATGGACAGACGTGTACACGAACGGACATCGCTAAATCGACATAGAATTATATATATATACTTTGTGGGATCTAAAATGTATATTTCGAGGTTTTACAAACGGAATAACAAACTTAATATACCCTCCATACTATGGTGGAGTGTATAAAAATAAAGGGTGGTATACTTCATAGTATTTTAGCAGGCATAAGTCACAGGCTGATTTCTTCGTCTCAGACTCCAGAACAATTGTTCGGCTTCAACCATAGACTCCGACTCATATATTTTCCAAATAATTTAATTTGTATACCCCAACTTATAGCCATATTTACATTTTGAGGTGGTTTGCAACCACAAAATGTTAAATGTTAAAAGTTATGAAAGTTATATAATACTGCTTTAATTAAATATCAACATTCTGAGTTATATATTGGGGTCATACGCCTGGAACTACGAACCCATTTAAAGTTGCTCTTTATAGATATAAATTCTGAACCCTAATTTGAATTTTTCGCTCATTGACAATTGCACCGTATATTAAATATTTCAATTGCTGCGGGATTGTTACTTTGAGCTAGTGTACATTAATTAATATGCAGTCATATATAGGCCTCCAAGGTCAAATACGATTGTTTTGTTTCTGCCTGAATCGCTCAAATGAATGTCGATTAAATTTATAATTTTCGGGAATATATGTAAACTTGCAGCTACTCAATTCATTTCCAAGCTGCTTTCAAAAATTTCGAAAAATGATTACTATATAACACTAAAAATCTGTACGATTTACAGGTACTTAATAAATATTCATATTTATTATAAGAAAAGTTTGTAATCTAAAAAAATATGGAAGCCTTCTGAATACCAACATTTTACATTCAATCATTTTACCCCCCTTGCTATGCAGATAATTCACCTATTTCTTGTGGTTACGCTCATATACTTGTTCCACACACGCATGTCATAGCATACTTCTGTTATGAGCTTTATTTTCGTATAAAATGCCATCATATTTGCAGTAGCATGCTCATATTTACCTGTAATGGGCGTATTCGTAGGGCACAAATTCACTGAACGGTTGCAGACACAAATTATCCGGACACATTGGATTTCCATGCAAGCTCAAATACTCCAGATTTGGAAATATTTGTTGAAGCATTTCGGCAGTTGTATCCAAATCACTCAACTGTAAAATGAAATCTGATTAAACATTGAATAATGCATGGCATTCTATGGGGCACAGTGGTTTAGATAAGTTATTTACTTATTTTTTGTGTTTTTAGAAATGGTTTCCATTTTTATTTTATTTTTTTTCTCAAGCAAATAAAAATATAAAGACTTGTTAAAATGGATGAAAAATAATTAAAAATGTAGTTAAGGTCGGTTGGACAGAATTATTATACCCTTCATCATCATACGGAACAATTTACCCAATTCGATTAGAAAATTGGACAAAGGTTTCAAAATGTATATACAGACTGGAGTAATAGTTATATACTCAACTTTCACATTTAATGTGCAAAAAGTAGGAAATATTATTTTTTTACCGAAATACTATATCGAAATACAAATACCCTATGATTTGTATCGTGGCGACACCTTGAAATAGTGCGACATAGTTACTTCGGGACACAATATCAAAATTACATTATTTAAATTAATTTTAGAGTCTTGACACTGTAACAAAAATATTGCAGTCCTAGGTCTAAAATCATTTACACTTTTGCATTTTTTTTTCAATTTGATAGAATGAAAGCAAAAAATGTCGGAAATAGCATCAAATGCCCGAATGTTGCTCTGCGGTATTTTGGCCCATTCCCGGCGAAGCGCTTTCTTGAGGTGATCGACACTTTGGTATTGTTTAGTGCCAACCTTGCTTACCAAAATACTCCAGACACAATAGTCCAACGGATTGGTATCCGGAGATTTTGGTGGACATTGTGCGCTGGAAATGAAGCGAGGAACCTCATTTTGTAACCATTCTTGGGTGGCGCGTCCTGTTGGAATGTCCAAGGTCTGCGGCCAAAATGTTTGCGTGCCCAAGGCTTTAATACACCCTCCAGAATATTTTCGCGATAATATTCGACATTTATTCTAATGCCACGGTCGATTAATACGAGCGGAGGGCGACCATCGGCTGTTATGACGGCCCGCACAATCACCATGGCCGGCGTTTGAGTTCTGGTGGCCAACCGAAGGTGCACATTTTCAGCTGACCTCTATTGCAAGTAAACTCGATCATTTTGTTTGTTTACAAATCGGAGAAAACCAAATTCGGCAGTTCACCACTTTCAGCCAAGCGAAGCAATCTTTAGCTCTATTGAGTCTATTTTATTTCCGTTGCATTGTAAGTTCTTGCACTTTATGAAATTTTAATGACATTACCTTTACCAATTTCAATGCAATCCGCTTCGACATGTTTAAAAGTCATATGACCGGCTATACGAAGACGTGTACCTGCACAGACAATTTTCTGTCATAGGCTGTAGTATCCATTACGAATAATGTCGCTAAATCATCAAAATACCGAATATCGGGAGGTACCGTTATATGGGGGCTATGCGAAGACGTGGACCTGCACAGATAATTTTCAATACCAAAAATACTTGCAGACAATATACATTTGAGTAAAATTTCATTAACCGACTTCAGTTCGTTCGAAAGCTTGAGTGATTTTCACAGACGGATGGACATCGCTAATTTGACATAGAATTTTATCCTGATCAAGAATATATATACTATGTGAGGTCTAAAAAGTATGTTTCGAAAAAATTTAACATCTCACCACTGTGCAATGTGCAAAAGTCTCCCTGACGTTTGAATGCTCAACCAAGACAACGAACTCACCTCATTTTTGTTTAACGTTAATGTTGTGATCTTTGGCAGTGGGACTTTCTTCAGTTTTTCGAAATGGGACTCGCGCAAGCGATTATCATCCATTATTAGGCAGCGTAAGTTGGGCATTTGATAGAGCCATTCCAGTCGGGTTATTCGGTTGTGGCTGAGATCCAAGTGTTCGATGCATTCGCCGTAGGTTGCAATGATGGCGGTGTCAAGTTCTCGCAGATTGCGGTCTGACAAATTTAACTGCACAGACACAGGTGAGATTTCGAACGATTCGACGATCAAAACAAACAAACATGTAAAATAGAATAAACAAAATATTTGATGACAATAGAACGATAGAGAGTCAACGTTTGTTTTTATTTTGAAATGAGAGCAAATACTGCCTAAAAACCCCGAGATATCGAAGATAATTTGTTGTTACCTCTTTTTTGTTGGCATTATAACCGTTTGCATCAGCATTGTTTTGGTACATTTTGGCTGTTGGGTGACTGTTGTATCTGTTCTGTTTGACATTTACTATGACGACGGTATTCAATTTTCTGTCTTTCTTTGTTTTCAAGAAAATAAGACTCTCACATTGTGTTTCGCTTTCATCAGTGCTGTTTGTTGTTGCTTTCGCAGTGTTGTCTGGTGAATGATCTACTTTTTGCGTATTCTGTGGATGTTCTCGTTAAAGAGATTGTCTAAATACGACTGGCGTTCTTGTAGGTCTTTGATTTGTTTTACCAAAAATAATGTTAAACCAAAAGCTTTTTACCGTAACAGAAATGTTAAAAGTCTATGAAAAGCTTTGTGAAAAAAGTAACAAGCAAAGATAGCCTTGGTGATGCCCTATATCTCTAGAAGACATGGTATATTAATTATAAGGCAGAAGTAAAACTACAACAAATACATTCGATAACAGTCATATAGAAATTTTTTGATTGATAAGGGTAGTTTATGTATTATTGCTCTGTTCCAGAATCTACAAGAATCTGGTAGTATTCCAATTATTCGTTGTATTTAAGAAAAAATAGGTTATCATACTAACATTTTTAGATTCTTCTGGAACAGAGCATTATTTTGATTTCTGTTACAGTATCTTGCGCTCGCTGTTGAAATTTCGATGAACATGCATTTTGCTCAATTTTTATACCCTTCACCATAGTATGGAGGGTATATTAAGTTTGTCATTTCGTTTGTAACACCTCGAAATATAAATTTTAGACCCCACAAAGTATATATATTAATGATCAGAATAAAATTTTATATTGATTTAGCGAGGTCCGTCCGTGGGTTCCTATAATATAAGAAACAACTAAGAAAACTTTTGGTGTAGTCCCTAATAACTGTACCTCGAGATATTTTGATAGTTTGTCTCACACTTTTCACCGGAAATATTTCATTTGCAAAGTTTTAAGTTCCTAATGGGTACTACATTATTATACCCTCCACCATACATAGTATGGAGGGTATATTAAGTTCGCCATTCCGTTTGTAACTCATCGAAATAATCATTTTAGACCCAACAAAGTATATATATTCTTGATCAGCGTAAAATTCTAAGACGATTTAGCCATGCCCGTCCGTTTGTCCGTCTGTCGTAATCACGCTACAATCAAAACGAATTAAGATAGGGATCTAAAATTTTGCACAGATCTGTCTTTTGTCTGCAGTCAGGTCAGGTAGATCAAGATGGGCTATATCGGTCCACGATGTCGTATAGCCCCCATATAACGGTATACCCCGATATTCGGTATATTGATGATTTTAGCCACATTTTTTTAATGGAATTGTCTGAAACTCCACACAAGGAGTCCCTTCTGAGTGCTTTATCCCCTGAAAGAGAATTGTCTATATAGGTCCACGATATCGTATAGCCCCCATATAACGGAACCCCCCGATATTCGGTATTTTGATGATTTTAGCCACATTTTTCAACGGAATTGTCTGAAATTCTACACAAGGAGTTCTTTTTGAGCATTTTACCCCCTGAAAGAGAATAGTCCATATAGATCCACGATATCGTATATCCCCCATATCACGGTACCCCCCGATATTCGGTATTTTGATGAGTTTAGAAACATTTTTTCAATGGAATTGTCTAAAAATCCACACAAGGAGTTACTTGTGAGTACTTTACTCCCTGAAAGAGAGTTGTCTATATAGGTCCACGATATCGTATAGCCCCCATAAGTGGTACCCCCCGATGTTCGGTATTTTGATGATTTTAGCCACATTTTTTAACGGATTTTCCTGAAACTCCACACAAGGAGTCCCTTCTGAGTGCCTTATCCCCTGAAAGAGAATTGTCTATATAGGTCCACGATATCACATAGCCCCCATATAACGGTACCCCCTGATATTCGGTATTTTGATGATTTTAGCACATTTTCCAGTGGTATTGTCTGAAATTCTACACAAGGAGTTAATTTTGAGCACTTTACCCCCTGAAAGAGAATAGTCCATATAGGTCCACGGTACCCCCCGATATTCGGTATTTTGATGATTTTAGCCACATTTTTAAACGGAATTGTCTGAAAATCCACACAAGGAGTTCCTTAAGAGTATTTAACGCCCTGAAAGAGAATTGTCTATATAGGTCCACGATATCGTATAGACCCCATATATCGGTATCTCCCTATATTCGGTATTATGATGATTTTAGCCACATTTTCTAATGGTATTGTCTGAAATTCTACACAAGGAGTTAATTTTGAGCACTTTACCCCCTGAAAGAGAATAGTCCATATAGGTCCACGATATCGTATATCCCCCATATCACGGTACCCCCACGATATTCGGTATTTTGATGATTTTAGCCACATTTTTCAACAGAATTGTCTGAAAATCCACACAAGGAGTTCCTTAAGAGTACTTAACGCCCTGAAAGAGAATTGTCTACATAGGTCCACGATATCGTATAGCCCCCATAAGTGGTACCCCGATGTTCGTATAGCTCCCATAAGTGGTACCCCCCGATGTTCGGTATTTTGATGATTTTAGCCACATTTTTCAACGGAATTGCCTGAAATTCTACACAAGGTGTTCTTTGTGACCACTTTGCCCCCTGACTGAGAATTCTCTTTATAGGTTAATGATATCGTATATCCCCCATATAGCGGTACCCCCCGATATTCGGTATTTTGATGATTTTAGCCACATTTTCCAATGGTATTGTCTGAAATTCCACACAAAGAGTTCCTTGTGAGTACTTTATCCCCTGTAAGATAATTATCTATATAAGTCCACGATATCGTATAGCCCCAATATAACGGTAACTCTTCGATACTATAATACCCTCCACAATTTGGTACAAATTTGGCACTTAAAAAAATTAAAACACATTAAAAATTCTTTTAAAATCTTAAAAATACCGAATGTAGCCGTATATTAGGGTTTATACGGCGACGTGGATCTGTCATAAGCCTGCACAGATAATTTTCTGGCATAGGCTGTAGTATCCATTACGAACTTCAACTACAAAATTTGAAAAAATTCCTGTAAATAATATCGCTAAAATCATCAAAACACCGTATATCGGGGGTACCTAAATATGGGGGCTATACGAAGACATGGACCTGCACGGACAATTTTCTGTCATAGGCTGTAGTATCCATTACGAACTTCAAATGCGAACTTTGAAACAATTCCGGTAAATAATGTCGCTAAAACCATCAAAATACCGAATATCTGGGGGTACCGTTATATGAGGGCTATACGAAGACGTGGCCCTGCACAGACAATTTTCTGTCATAGGCTGTGGTATTCATTACGAACTTCAAATACTAAATTTAAAATAGTTCCAGTAAATAATGTCACTAAAATTATTAAAATACCGAAAATCGGGGAGAACCGTTATATGGGGGCTATACGAAGACGTGAACTACATGGCCCATTTTCTGTCTTATGCTGTAGTATCCATTACGAATTTCGAGTACCAAATTCGAAACAATTCTGGTAAATAATGCCGCTAAAATCATCCAAATACCTAATATTGGGAGGTACCGTTATATGGGGGCTATACCAAAACGTGGACCTACATGACCCATTTTCAATATCAAAAGTCCTGCAGACATGATATACATTTGAGTAAAATTTTATCAATCTACTTCAATTCGTTCGGAAGCTAGAGTGATTTCCACAGACGGATAGACGGACAGACGGGCGGACATCGCTAAAGCGACATATATACTTTGTGGGGTCTAAATGTATATTTCTAGGTGTTACAAACGGAATGACAAACTTAATATACCCTCCATACTATGGTGGAGGGTACAAAAAAAGGATATGGTAAACTTACAAAATATTTTTTAGGGAACAGCTGATCAAAAACGAGGTGTTAAGAAGTTAAGTTGAAAGCGTGGCTACATGAGAACGTAGACCTATATCTTCTATACTCTAAATACCGAATTTTTGACAATTCAAAGTGACTTACATCGACAAAATACAGAGAATTGGGAGGTATATGAGCGTTATTTGGCCCATTTACGAACATAAATTTCCTAATGACAAAATACACAAATGTGAAAATTTTACCTTGATCATTACTATTTGTAGGGTCTAACATGAGCATTTTGAGGAGCTACAAACGGAATGACAAAGTTAATATATCCTTCTTAGTATGGTGGAGGCTATGAAAACTAAGGGAAGTGAGGAGGACTGGTGCTTTTTTCCGAAACCAAAGCCTAACCTTTAATACATCCAATAGCAAGAGCCCGCAGCGAAAAGTCTACGTTAAAAAGATTCGTTCCAACAGTTCGTGTTAGGCCTTTTTACTACTTAAAATGTACAATGTGTTCAGTTTGATAAACATTTTAAATCAAAACTTCATGCATCGTACCAAATTTTCGGACTTTCAAGATATATATTTTACTAGCTGGCCCGGTCCGCGTTGCCGGCCCGTAGTTTTTGTCTATTATGCATATATTCCCAAGCATAATTATTCACAGATATGACTGATATAAGTGTTCACGTACAGGTCGATTTAAAGTGTTTTAAAATACCTGTACCCATTTTTAACCAGTGGGCTTCAATATTTAAACCGTGGGCTTCAACTGTGTGGATGTGCTATACAAATCTATTAAAAAGTATATATCAATCTTATCGCCATATAAGGGATCAAATTAATTTTTAATATGGTAAAAATCGTAGCAAAATCTTCCAGTCAAATGAGCAGTAATTTGGAATTTGCTGTATTTTGTATACTACATAATTGAGGGCTGAATGATTTAAGAATAGCCAAAGTTAATTACTTTTTTAAACCCATTAGCAACTTAGATTGTGCATTAGAGTCCTCATAAGTCCCCCTAACCATGTCAGTCTGTTTGTCCGCCAAAAGGTGGACTTGAGAGGGTATTATAACATGGATAAAAATTCTAAAATTTGTAGATATGTTGAAATTTTAGTGTAAGATTTTCACCCCCCTAATACGCATTATTAGCCAAATTCTTTGAAATGTGGTTAAATTAGGAGGTACCTTCTTTATATGGGCACTACTCCGAAACATCGACCTACATTGAAAACTTTCTTCTACCCCTTATAATCCAAGATGACAAATAGAGGCCAAATCAAAAATATAGCAGAACAATATAGCATGTCATAGCATTTCGCGTGATTTAAATAAGTAAAAATAGTTTTATCCACCTCATAATTGAGGGCAGAATGATAAGATGGGAATTAATTTTATTTGCCATTTAAATTGTAAGTTGGAGACCCCTTAAATTCCACATTTTC